ATTCAGATGAATAAATTAAATTTTTTACTGATTTTGATGTAACGAAGAAGAAATTAATGAGTCTCCTGAAAATTTCTTTTACAATAACTTTTTCTTTTATAAGTTCATACTACTTTTTTTTTTATATGTTGGTTAAAAACATGCTATTGTCTACTTTTGTCTCTGAATGTTAATATTTAGTCAAGTGATAAAAACATTTAATAAAAAGTTAAAAATTCAAAATAAAACGTACAAAAAAGTGTATGTATATTATAACAATAAGGTTTTGGGATTTTACGAATTAATTAAATTTGTTTGGACCACTTCTGAGACACCCGACTCCATGAAAATGTGTTATAGGTATGTACAGTATCACAGAAATTTTTTCCTGAAAGAGTCATCTCTTAAAACTAAAATCCTAATTTTAATACGTTGATTAGGATTAAGAAGAACAGAAATTAATATCTATTTTTCATAGATGTACTCAGGATGACTAAAATAATCTTTAAAATAGAAAGTCCCGAACCCTAAAAATAATACTGGTAAATATAAATTGTATGATTAAAATATTTAACCTATATTAATTTAATTTACCACAACAAGAATGATTCACTGAACCTATAAAAATCTCTTAATTTATTTTTGAATAATCCTTTTTGTTAAATAATAATCATAATTGTACTTGTAGTTGTTTTACTTTTACAAATTAATATTGTTATCATTTTGAATGAACCTTGACATTCATAATTCTTTGCGATTCCTTACAACATAAATTGTTTAAGTTATAATCTAGATATTTTAAGTCATTAATTTGATCAAGAACTACTTCAAAGTTGTACATGCTTACATGAACCAATTTTAGTCTGTAAAAACTTCTGTATGTGATTAAATTAAATGTTATTCACAATTAAATAATTTGCATTGATACAATGTACAGAGTGTCCCACTAGGTTATGACATTTTAAATAACTTTTGAAAATACAAATATTTTATGTTACTTTTTTAAAATAATTTTTACAGTTTTAGACTATGTCAAAAGCATATTTTTTATAATTTGTCTCTAATAAGAAAAAAAATGTTATTTTTTAATTTTTAAAATAATCATTTTTTAACTCATGTAAAATTAAAAATTATAAAAAAAAAAATAACTCATAGTATTTTTTGAATCAAAAGTTATTGAAGATGTCAAAACATGGTGGTATACTGTAATGGTTTAACTTGATTTATTTACTCAAATTAAACTTTAATTTTTTTATTAGATACAATATAACTGCAACTTTTTTTTAAGTTAAATTATACTTTAATATTTTGTTATGCTTTTCACAACTTTTTTTATACGTCATAGTTATTGAGTTATTTTTATTACTAATTGAATTAGCTTTTTCCATTTTCGGTATTTTAATAAAAAGTACGCAATGATTTTACTTACAGATTTATCTTATATTTTAATAAGTGTAGTAACATTTATTTTTAATTAGTAAAATTGTTCTTTATCAGTTTTTAGAAGAACTCAACATATTATTTAACTCTGCACAATCATCAGGATGTGTTCGCGTGACAATGAAATTGCGTAAGCTCTTACCTATTTTTCTGAATTAGATATTAAATTTAATATTTTTAATAAGTATACTTAAATTTATTTAGAACTTTTGAATAAAGAATTAAATAAATCTAAGAAAAAAATTGAAGTACCCGAAAATCCAGAAAAAGTTTGTCTAATCAGAGCAACTTATAAAAACAAAAAACTTAGTACTAGAGTAAGTTCTAGTTATATAATTATTGACTTTGAATACTTTTGTTCATTAATTAATCTTCTGTTTATGTAGATCTCATCGAGTGACGTTAACACATTCCAAGAAGAATATTGTACTTTATTAAGAAATTCTTTAAGTAGTTTGAAAAAAACCAAAAAAATAAAGAAGAAAGTCATGTCATAGAACATAACATACATTCATATATACTTTTTAAAATGCTTTATCATCTTTGAATATATTATAAATAAAAAATGTACATTCTTTCATTTATTTTATTTTTATTATTCAATTTTTATTACCCAAACATACAAGTTAGTAAACTTTTTCAAAAAATAATATTCATCCATTTTAAATGAATGACTTAGTTAAGTAACAAACTTTAAGTAATATTAAGATAAATTTTATTTTAAAAATAATGAGAAACTATATAACTATTCAAATAGAGTATAATATTTATTTTAAGACACAAAATTAAAAATATTATCAGAAGTTTTTATAGATATATAATTGAATTACTATTATTTTGGTTGAGCTTATAGAAATAATATTTTTTTGTGAATAAATTGTTAATCTTTATTTAGATTTGAAAACCTTGAAGAAGTGTTAAGTCCATAAGTATACATTTTTTGCTTTTAGCTATATTTTAATAATATTTTGTTTTAGCTTCGATGCGAAGCGGAGAAGGTATTAATTTTACTATGATGTGTTTTTTTTTTTTTTTTTTTTTTTTTTTTTTTTTTTTTTTTT